ACACACACACACACATACAGGCAGACTGTGTATGTACACGCACAAATACACACAAAGTCACACACAAACACTTGTTGACCTCCTAATCCGCTGACCTCTGCCTATGTGAGTTTCTCTGTTTCCATGCACACAGACAGTGGGACTCTGAAAACTTTTCTGATTCGAGCTGAATTATAACATTTGATTTGAGATTTTTCGTTTTTTGCATTTTTATAAGTTTAATAACATGAGCTGATCTTACTTTATAATTGTTATTATTCTAGAATAAGTATATTTGGTACACTGGCATTAAACCTATGACTGAAATATTCATTTTATCATATTCAGTTATTTTAGAATAATAACAGGACAAAGTATAAAGTCAGATCCGATCACGTTAATAACGCAATAAAGTTATTAATCCCATTTAATCATTTATTTATTAGCATGTATAGTAACTAGGTCCAGGATGAATCACGTGAAGTTTGTGACTCACCTCTTTCTTTTCCGTCAGCAGCGTCAACATGTTCTCCATGTCAACAAATGCACTTTGAATCAACCTGCAGAAACATGTGAAGTTTGTGAAGTTTGAAAAAGCCAGAGTCATCAACAACAAATTCAAATCTGTGTCTCAGTCTCCTGATAAATAAAGTCATATAAATAAAGCCGAACTTTAGGTCCTTGTTGTCTAGCAGGCTCATTAATCTCATCTCACCTGTAGTAGGTTCCGAACCAGTTGAGGGGGGTGTACAGCTGAATGATGTAGGTCCCAAACAGAACATAATCTCCAACCTGAGGGAAAATAAAACACGGAATATAAAGGAACCTGCAGAACATCATCGACAACGTAAAACTCACTTCCTGTATTTTTAAATTTAACATGTGACCTCTGCAACGAACGAGCTGCAGATTCTGACGTCCCCTGAAAGTGGAGGGGAACCGTCTTTTGTATCTTATATTTGAAAAATACTTTTTTTTCAGGTTCAAAGAAGCTGCATACATGTCATGTCCAGCTCCTCATGATCCCTGAGGTCTGTGTTACCGAGGTCATGACTCACTGAGGTCCAGAACACTGTGGTCACGTCCTGGGTCAATGTTTAATTTACAGAGATGATGGTCGAGTTGCTCGTCGCTGTCAAGTCCACGTTATCGTGGTCGTCTGAAGAGCAGCGCGACCAAGTGAAGAAGGTCGATTCGTCCAAGTCGTCACAGTCGGGTCGAGACACAGACGTCATGTCTGAGTCATTGTGGTTTTCCGAGGTCGTGAGTCACGTCCAACAGAAGTTCACAGTCTGAGTTGTAACCTCTTGCTGTGTTAACTAGTTCAAACCGAGGAAACAAAGTCAAAAGGACACAAAGACATGATGAGATATATCTAAAGTTTAGAAAAGGTTGTGGTGTGAATTCAAATCCTGCGTCATTTAATAAATTCTGATATTTTTCACCCAACCAAATAAACAGGTTTAAATTAAACTAAATATTGAAGCTGTGCACATCCTCAGGTATCTTATTTGTTTTGTCGCCTCCACACGAGGAGGTGAGACTTTAGAGATCCTGCTGTTTTTAAATCAGACTCGTACCTGGAACTGACCCTCAGACACCAGGTGGGAGCAGAGCAGCGACCCGGCGAGCAGACCTGATCCTATGATGACGTTCTGGGTTTGATTCAGCAGAGCGAGCGACGCCGAGCTCTTCCACTCACACTGCTGCAAGAAACACCACGAATGAATGAATGAATGAATATCAATGATGCGGTTGACGATGTCGCTCTTCACCTGACAACCTCAAGCCTACCTGATATTTCAGAATGGCCTCCTCGAAGCAGCGGACCTCATAATCCTCTGCGCTGTAATATTTCACCTGTGAAAATAAGCCCCGCTCATCAACTTGGTCAAAAGATTGAAAGAAGCATTAATGACAGAGACGACAGAAAATAATACCGTCTCAAAGTTGAGCAGCGAGTCGACGGCTCTGGACTTGGCGTTGTTGTCCTGAGTGTTCATCTCCCTCCTGTATTTCGTCCTCCACTCTGTGATCAGGACGGTGAAGGCTGAAGTATCAAGAGATTTAGAGCTGAATTAATATTCTCTACAGTTTGTAGATGGGATGCAGGGGTGCTTCAAGGGACTGTGGGGGCCCAAGGCAAAGGGGCTGTGGAGGGGCCCTACATATATGAAATGGCTATCACTGTGAAAACTGCTTTTAATAAACTGTTTCCATGAGAAGCGTCCTGGTGAGACATGTCTCCATTTCATTGTCTGTCTCTGTTCTGGTGAAACCCACTTGAACAGATGATGAACATGGAGCCAAACGCCCAAAGGGCCGGAGGGAAAACTACAGAGATAAACACTCATAGTCTGAACTCACACTGACTCACTGAGGTAAAGAACCATGCAGGTGAAAACGATGAGTCCAAACCAGACGCTGAAGTAGGAGGCGAAGTAGACGATGGCGATGATGATGTCGCAGATGGTCGGGAGGATGCTGAACAGGATGTAGCTGAAGACAGAAACAGTCACAGGTTATGACTCGCCGGCTGAATGAGTGAGCCTCCGTCGGCCTGACTCTGTCCAACCTCAGCAGGTTGTTGATGGAGGACGTTCCTCGGTCGACGTTCCGCAGCACGTCCCCGGTGCGTCTGTCCAGGTGCCAGCGCAGAGACAAGTCGTGCAGGTGAGAGAACAAACGCAGCTACGGGGACGGAAAGAGAGAAACAAAGTTCACCAGCGTGAACCAGCGACATCAGGAGGAAACGTCTGGTGTCAGGAGGAAACTGAAGTGTCACCTGGACGCCTCGGCCGGTGAACTGCTGAACCCTGATCCACAGAAACTGACGGAGGTTACTGATGAAACCAGACGTGCCTGTGAGGACCAGAGAGATAAGATGCTTGTATCCACACACACACACACACACACACACACACACACACACACACACACACACACACACACACACACACACACACACACACACACACACGTCTGTCATTATGATATGAACAC